ACAGCCTAATGATGGAAAAAAGTATTTACTTTATATACATAATTTATATATATAAACATAATATACATTTATAAATATATGCATATTTTTTTTAAAATAACCTATGGTGGATATTATGGCTTTGAAAACGGATATTTTATTAAGTATAAATTAACATATAATATATGCAAATATGTTAGAACAAGTGCAAAGGGGATTCTCGTAAAATCGAAAAATATAACAAAAAAGAAGCTAACCGGTTATAATACTCGCTCTTCAATGCACAATCGAGGACAATAAATATGTACCCAAAGACTAAAATGAAAGTGAACAAAATTTCCACCAATCGTCGCTGATCAAATAACCTGCAAAACTTTTCTTTTCAAGTCTGACTGAAACGAAATTAAAATTACTACGATAAGACTTATAATATAATTACAAAGAAATTGATCAATTTTAGAAAGTAAAACTTTATACTGTTTAACGATTAAATGATGTAATTATAAACATTTAAACATGTCAACTTGAACAAGTAAGCTTTTTATGTTGTGTATGATTTGATCCAGTTTGAAATGAATTCAAATTTGGACTGGATTCATTCTTCGAGTTGATGCTTGTAAATTCTCGTGGACACTTTTAACTATTAAAATTATAATTGATATAAATTCTACACTCATTCTTTCTACCTCTTTTATTATTTCTTTCGAATACAAAATGTTCTGCTATAATTATTCATTTAGGGTATTTTGACGTCGTGTAATGGTTATCAAGCTTGTCTTGTCATATCAATTACGGCTAAATAGTGAGTATATATATATATATATATATATATATATCATGCTAGTTCCGCAGTAAAACAGTGAGTTCAAGTTACCAATCTAGTAGCACGCTTAAATTCATGCAGTCGAGGCACTATGGAAAAGGGTCATCAGAACAGTTGCCATAAAAATATTTGTAGAAAAGATAGACGGCAGTGACGTGACCACGGGGATGAAGTGAATGAAGTCGAGCTCAGAATCAACTACATTACAGATCCTCCTTTGAATTTTGTCAATAATCTCGAGATAGACCAGATCTGAATGTTGTTTCAGTCTTCATACCACCTGCTACTTGGACGTTTACCGTACTAATTATACTTAAAAGACACTATTGGTAATGTGTATGCTTGGAGGAATATAAAAAAGAAAACCCTTACTAGCTATCAACAAGTTTTTACACTGAAGCTGCTACGTATTGTGTGGTCGTGTTAGCATTCTAATCATGAGGCTTGGATTCAAACCTCAATACTGTCGGTTTATCAAGGATAATATCGGCCTAGGGAGCCAATCACAGCCTATGACACCGTTAGGAAGTACCAGAAAACTATACAAATGAAATTTGTATTGATGGTTGTGCTAAATTTAGCATACGAACCTGTTTCAGTTACTGATCATGCCAGATTGTGAACTCTAAAGGTCAGTTCAGTATAGTTGTATTATAAAGCAAGGTTGGGTCTGTGTGTTGGAAAAATAAAACAGGGATAAGCTAGATACCGTAGCAGACGGGCATACTAACAAACGAATAGCAAATTATTATTATTACTGAATAACATAGCAAGCTCCTTATTATAAGATGCAAAATCAAATTTTAGCCGAATTTGCTTTCTTCTGGGTTTTCTTCAGAATAGATTTTATTTTCGACAATTACATATATTTATCATGTCTCTCCTTCTCTCTTTATCCCTCTCTTTCTCTCTCTCTCTCTCTCTATATATATATATATATATATATATATATGGGAAAATAAATGAGATTATCTGTGTGTGTTGGGTTGTTGTCAGACGTAGGAGAAGGAGTGTTTGCCATAGCTTGTTTTTGAAAGCGAAGCCGTCCCGAGCACTGGTTTTTGTAATCTTTTTACCGGAAAGGGTGTGATGTGCAGGTCTACCACCTTGCAACTTAAGGCCTGCCTTCTCTCCCATCTCATCTTCTTTTGCGAGATGAACTTTATGAGAACAGAGTCGTTCCGCAGGCTCTCTTTTTGTCTCATTATTAATTGATCCCTGATTAAAAATTTGGTTGCGAGACTAGGTAGTGTTTCACAACGCTTACTCTACCGGAACGGCTTCTGATTTACCTTTTGAAGCGAAAGGAATTTTCGACAATATATATATATGTGTGTGTGTTTTCAATATAATGACTGGCTGCTCGTATCTGTGTATGCCTATCTGCTAAGGCAGCTATCTAGTTCCTATTGTAGACGACTACTCAAGCACATTTATGTTTGTTCAGCACCCGCAGAGTCCAACCGTGGTTTATACTAAAACTATGCTGAGCGGACCTTAGTAACAGTTTCTGTGAGAGAGTGAATTATCTGGTGGGATCAAAACACCCTGAACAAGATCTGTACGCTCGTGCTCGCTCAACAACTGAGGGCTCCCAAATAGTTCATTCTACCCAATGTCATTCACAAGGCTTGGGTCAATCCGTGGTAGGATTTTTCAAGGCATGCGGTCAAGTGATTATAACATTCACTTTCCAACCATGAAATCCGGGTTCTAATCTCACCATGGTCGATTTGTCAAAAAAGGTGAATTATTGATACTATCTCCCTGGAAAGGCTAACACAGTTTGCGGCGAACTTAGAAAGTGCCTGAAAACTTATGTATATATATATATAATTAATTTTTTGTCCGACATTATTTCTTATTACTATAAACTATATCATTTTTCGTGAGTACACGTGTTTGAGGTGTCATCCCTGTTCTTTTAAGGAGTGAAATTAATTTCAACCGGCCTAGAAATCGAGTAGTGCATACTAACGAAAAATATGTCCAGCATTTCTTGAATTATAGGCCGGTTGACATTAATTTTACTATTTAAAATATGAAGGACGTTCACTGGAATACGTGTATTCACAAAAAAATAATTGTTTTCGCGCACACACATACACACATACACAAACAAATACATATGTATGAATTAATAAAAAGTATGTTAGATTAAAAAATAAAATTAATTAAGTCTTTTGAAATTACTTGATTTTACATATGAAACTGAGCATATATGACTTTTGAGAAAATCTGAACGAATGAATGTGTTTTAAGACAAATAGAACTTTCCTTGACTGTGAAACTCTCCGTAGCTGAGTGGTCAAAGCACGTTGGATCAGAAGGTAGTTTCTCCTGTAAAAGAAGACAAAGATTTTTTAATAAATTTTTCTCGGCTGGTAGACGAAGTAAAAAACTCTTTTCAAAAATGTAGCATCTACTCAAATACGGGTATCTACTAAATATAACGTTTAAAAGTAATTATATATATATATATATATATATATATATATATATATATATATATATATATATATGCTGCACAACTTTTGATAATACGCTAAACTGACTTTGAACTTCTTCATTCAAAGAACAGTCTTTATTTACTGACTAATTGATACATTCAACGTAAAGAAGAATTTTGCTTGCGTGTCTGTTCATCGTAATGTTTAAATACCGTCACGCTAAAGTTCAAAAATGGAATTTTAAAAAACAGTTTAACATTTATAAGAGCCTTTCTACAAGCCCAACAACAAACGAACCATCCTATCACGGTTAATTTGGGCTCCTCCCATCGTTTCATACAGTACGGTTTCTAATTACAAGCATGTAGACGTCATCGACATAGGCAGAATACGCAGCCAAGTTGGTAGGACCAGGTAACTTAATACCATTTTCAGGTATTTGCATTTTCACACCATATCCGCGCATTAGAATATATGTAAAGTTAAGTAAATAGCTTTAAAGTAGTGTATTGGGTCGTCATCTCAATCTTGTGTGTCTTTAAAAGTTTCGGTCACCAAGAGCGAACAACCCATCCAAGTTCTATATTCCTTTTAAGGGAAATACATTTCCTCCGGCAGATTTTTCTTGAAAACCTACGTCTGCTCAGTTTTGCATCCGAAACGTTAACAAAACAATTTCTAAAGAAATAATGGATTTATGATGTATGAGGGTCAAGCAGCTCAGTTCCTGGGAACTAACAGTCAAACACCAGCACATATGATATGATTACAGCGGTGAAGGCAGAACCAACCACACTTTTTGAAGGGCCGAATACAGAGACCTGGTGCACCACGTGCCACAAGGTTCCCAAACGACCCTCTGCAGGTTTTGAATTCAGAGTTGTCCTTCTCCTAGACCAGTTGCCATCCAAGGCTATAGAACCCAGTCTGTCCTGCTATTTACCCATAGCTGGAGGGAGAGGAGGGGGATTATTACATTTCCCAGCGGCATTAGCACGTAAGTGAATGTAATGGATCCGACAGGAATTTGAGCTCGGCTCTCCGATTCCTCAACCCGGGCCGCTATCCCCTATTCCATATATATATATATATATATATATATATATATATATATATATATATATATATATATATATATATATATATACGACAAAACTTTTGATAAATGTTATACTACTTTAACTATAAAAAGGAGAAATTGGCTTCAGATTCTTGAAATTTTTATCATGTAATAAAGACTACAAAACAGATTTTAACTTCTTCATTCAGAGAAGTGCTATTATTTAATGACTAAATGATACATTCTACGTAAAGAAGAATTTCGCTTGCCTCTCTATTTATCGTAATGTTCAAATGTAATACATGCGTTTAAAAATGGAATTTTTAAAAACAGTTTATAGACACATTTACTTTACACAATTCTAAAGGTTTTGAATCTTGATAACGGCTAAATGAATAACTGAAAGAACTCGATTAAAAACCTCGGACAGTTCTTTCATACGATAACTACTGGCTTATGGTCACTCGGAAGGAAACAGGTATAACGATTAGCAGTCATTTTACACTTTCATTTTTTTCGTTCGAGTTTTTTTTTTTTTTTCATTCCTTCAAAATTTCTTTGGAAAATCATTTTTTTCTTTTAATTATTTTTATTAATTATTTTTGTTAATGAGCGATTATTTATATCTTGACATGTAATTCTTTTTTAACGGAATAAACATCAATTTTCCTTTCTTTCTATCTTACAGTATACGAATCTGCGGCCACTGGTAAGTTGTTTTTTTCTACTTTTGTTCGAACTGCACGTGTCTAGCATATTTATACGCTATAACAATGGAAAATTTCGTTAGAGTCTATAACCAACTATTGGTCCATAATTGACTCAATAAATAAACATTAATCGATAATTGAGTCTTTAAGTAAACATTGGTCTATAATTGAGTCTATAAGTAAACATTGGTCTATAATTAAGTCTATAATTGGTCTATAATTGGTCGCGTCTATAACTGATGTGGAATTTGCAAATTAAAAGGAGACAGTAGATAATGCCAAGTTATGGCAGAGAAAATGTTATAAATAATCAAAGATATTAAATAGATTCAAATCAGTAAAAGATGACTTGCTCCATGAGAAATGTGCAAAATAGAAGAATTGAAAGACGGACATAGCAGGCATGCATAATAATATAAAAGATGTAGCACAAGAGAAACCTTGCTTTTCGACAGGATGCATAAAGTCCTAAAAGAGAAGTTCCATATCAGAGAAAGAAAGAAATATCCCCAAAATGGAACGAATCCATTGGTGAGCTCTTCCATGAAAACAGAGCTGTGAAAGATAATATACGTAAAATCGTAGACATACGTGTAGTATTTTCAATAAAATGGATTGAATCTGAAAATCTGATCTACCAGACAACCTCAAACAGAGCTTTTTTTCGCGCCATAGTATAGTCGATTTTAATGTATGGTGCCACTCCTTGGACATTAACTAAAATCTTCGAGTCTAAGCTTGATGGAACCTACACTCAAATGCTAAGAGAAAATTAATATCAGATTGTTTCGATATTTGTCTATCACAGTGAGTACATATGTTTTTATATATGTATTTAACATCTCTTGGAAACAATATCCAAATAAATCACAGCTCTATGGACACATCTCTGTTATTTCTGCAATCTAACATGAACACAGAATACGCTTTGCAGGACACTACTGGTAAGCAAAACAAGAACTAGCGAGTAATCCACTGCTCTGGACACCTAGCCGTAGCGCAAGATGGGTTAGTCGCCCAACAACCACCTACATTGGCCAACTATGTTATGACACATGATGCCAATCTAATGACCTTGCGACCTTGATGCAGGGCCGTGATAGTTGGCGTGATAGACTCATGAATGACCGAACTAGCTCGACCGAATATAAAAAATATAACGGTTGGCGTTGGCCAAGATGAACAGAAACAAAGACGCAGAACCAGCAAAATATACGACAACGGCAAAATACCGGAAGATCTATCTTCATAGCAGTTCCAAACAAGCCAGGTATTTTAATGGAGTCCGAAATATGAACTAAATATGTGAGCAACGATGAAGTTTTACATAAAATGGAAACAAGAAGAAAACTTATATTCAACATCAGAAAGAGACAATTGAAATTTTTAGAGCACATAATGAGGAAAGACGACTTGGAAATCTAACACCCACAGAACAGATGTAAATAGTGTAAAGAGCTACAATTACTCATCTCAGAAATATAGACAGAAGAAAATTAATATCAGATTGTTTCGATATTTGTCTATCACAGCGAGTACATACAATGTTTTTATATATGTATTTGTTTCGGTTTTTTTTAATAATTTTTCTTCTCCCCCAGCTATGGTTAAATAGACCGGGTTCTATAGCCTTAGATGGCAACTGGTCTACCCCAGAAAGAAATGGCCACCTACTGCAGGGAAAAATCTGCCTCGCTAGCCATGTATCAAAAGATACATGATCGCTTAAGCGTGTATCACGCATGTCACATAACTGAATGATGTTCCTCTACCGTTGTTTAACTCTCTGCCTTCATTTCTTCCAGTTACATTCGGTATTAATCCAGTGCGGCCAGTTTTGACTACTGACATGACCCTTACATGCGAAGCAAACTACAAAACCAATAAACTGAAGAAGTTGTCCGTGCTCGCTGGCAATGCGGAAATTCTTAGCTACCAACCCGACAAGAGACCACGCGTTCAATGGAAGGACGACGAAACCAAGGCACGTTTCGACTTCAAGAAAGAACTCAGCAAAACACGTACCTTCTTAGAAATGACCCTCAAGAAACCCAAGTGCACTGACCAGAATATTTACAAGTGTATCTACAACGATGGGCAAGCACCAATAGAAGAGGAAATTAGACTGAACTTTTACGGTAAGTCGCGATATTTCATTTTTGGTGTCAAAATAACTATGTTGAGCTGATTGAAGTCTTTGTAGACATGATATGTAGTGAATAGTAGTTTTGCCTTACTTAATATTTAATAATACGGATTTTTTAAAACTCAGAAATAGGAATTATAATTTCTACGACTAATAAAAGCGATAATGAGTAATGCATTCGAACGGTTGTTTTAAGTCAATCATTTGGTTTGCAAAAGAAAAAAAATCTCCGATAATATCAGACTCATAAATATAACATCCAAGAAGATTCATAAAAATCAGTATTTTCATGCTCTGCATATCCATAGCCTTTTGATTCCGATTAATTGTATTGGTCCCAGGGGATCTTTCTTCTGAGTAGCACCTCCCCTTCACACTAATAGAACGGGATCAGGATTATACCCTGCCGTCTACGACAAAATCTGGTAAGACAGGCTTATTTTTACCACAACTCACGCAATTATTTAGGTTTTATATGAAACAGACATCTCAATGACGAAATGTGTCTGGCACCTCGGAGATCCTTATTCCATGATAGTGTTATTCCGTTAGACTAAAAAAGATGGGTTTGTTAATCATCTGGATGCTTTTGCGGTAGGCTAAGACTACTAGAGAATTTTGCCTTTACCCATACAAATGTATGCGAGGCCCTACATTAAAACGCTCACTCATTTTAATCCAATGGATTGGTTAGTTGGTCGTTTGGTTGATTGGTTGAATGGATGAATGGTTTTGTTTAGCGGTATATCAACAATTTGTGGCGTCCTGAATTTAAGGATAGACCACCTTTCCAGCCAAAGTTTCAAGAAATTAACGGATTCCAAGCCTACCTGATAAACCTTAAATATTGCTTTATGTATATAAGTCTATAATAATTCTAGTTTGTCAATGTGGGATTCAGATGACAATGTATATTCTTGTGTGTGTATGTGTAGTAATAATAGTAGTAGACGTTTTGTTCATTGGCTTTTTCGCATGTTGATTAGGGAATGATTTTGCGTATAACGATATATAATTTTGTATAATTTTATATATCAACAAACAGTATTTCCACTTTGTCATATATATATATATATATATATATATATATATATATATATATATATATATATATATATATATATTTCTAAATTTTATTAATTTAAACATTATTTCCAATGAGGTTGAGTTGACATCCCTGTTATATATAATTAAGTGTGCTTCCATTAAATTCAGTTTAACAATAAGACGGCGGTCAACTCGTACACGTGTACATGTGAAAATAACATGTATAGCAGTAAGAAATAAAAATACCAGAATTTCTTGCACATTTTTATCCATATCTCATTCTCTGATGAAGCTTTAATAAAAGTGAAACATGTAAAATAATAAAATTAATAAAATTTAATAAAAGTGAAACATGTGAACGTTTCCTATTTTTTTCTTTATCTTATATGTTTCTTTCTTGTTGCTGCAGTCGACAAAGGAATTGTCGAAATGATTGACAACCGCGAAAATGAATGTAGCCCTCTTAACATCACCTGCATAGGACAAGCCGGAAACCCACCCGAAATGATGAAGTGGCTTAAGAAGAGGAAGGGTGACAGCACCTACGAACCCATCGATCCTTCTTTCATTACCATCGACACAATGAAGTTTCACCAAACGTAAGTGATAAAAAAATCGTGTTTGTGTGTGTGTGTGTGTGTTCAGATCTGCGCAATCTACTCTAAAGAAATTGACGCGAATGTTCATCGATAATTCCTTTCTCCGAAATGAGTTAATTTTCCACAAAATGGTAACACAATGGTTGCTCTATTTAATTTAATCTTTAACAGAAAAACTTTGGGCATAGTGTCTTGACTGATTCGCTTTTTTACGATTTATCAAACCCTTTTTGCAGTTTATTTAAAGCCAGAAAATATTTTTAGATTGTAAGATTTTTTTGAGATAATAATGATTTAGTGCTACAGATCTTACTAATTAATCCATAGCTGAGAGGAGACGAGGCGGATTCATACATTTCCCAAGGGTATTTGTACATAAATGAATACAACAAACTGAACTGAATTCGGAATTCGACTCTTCGATTAACAATAGCTTGCTACACCACCCTTACACCACCCGTGCATTAAAACGTACTGCACTTGGTATTTGCAAGCGGTCACTGATCTAGGTATTGACCAGGCTCGACGTTGCTTGTTCGATGATCGTACGGGAGCCAGGGTTTCAACATGACAACACCGTAAGTCCAACCGAGTTCGAATTCCAGTCGAATCCATTACACTCACTTACGTGCTAATACCGTTCGGAAAAGTATGACTCCTCTTCTTCCCCACCCCTACCAACTATGGGTAAATAGCAGAACAGACCGAATTTTATAGCCTTGATGGCAACTGGTGTACTGCAGAAAGAAATGGCAACATACTGAGGGAAAAACAGCTGCCTCAGCAGTCATGAATCGAAAGATACATGATCGCCTAGGCGTGTACCATGCATGGCACATAACTGACTGAATATATACATAAACCTTATGATGTCTGTGATACATGTATAGAGGTGCTTATTCGCTGATATTTTGCAACCTTTGCGAATATTATATGCATTGCTATTCGAACTAACATGATCGTTATTCAGTGATTATGACGGATTCTTTCCTTAGGACGTGTTCTCTTATTTCTGCAATCGTTTGGACTATTCTGGAACGGATTGATGTTCAGATAAATCCAGTTGGAATTAGCTTCAGATCTCTACATCTACAGAGGAATATGAGATGGTTCCTTATTCATGCTACGTTTTTCAACCTAGCTGAGCAGGCTGGTCCGAATGGCAAAGCATACAATAATGATAATTACTAAACGAAAATATTCCGACAAAAATTATCAAGTCAGTACGGACTAGTGGTGGTACAACAAGGAAGACAATTGGCTAAATGTCACCAAATAAAATAATAATTTAATAAATCTATTATGAAAGTGTTTTCAAGTTTACCTCGGGTTTCTAATCATTCCGACATTTTCGCTACGTTCTCCATGACACTTCCAAGGGCCCCGAGGATAATCATGTATATCATCGCTACTTTCGTATTTCTCAGAATAGCAAGGTTTAGCTATTTTTCATTCTGAATTTGATTTCCTCCCTGATTCTATGTGAATTCCAAAGTTACATAAACTTTCGTTTTCTCTTTTTGTTTTGCATGTTCAAATCTCATACGTTTGCACAAATCTAACTAGATCTCAGTTCCTACCCACTCGTGTCTAATTTTGCACTCCTTCTGAACTAATTTGTTGTATTTGCTTTTTATACGATTGATAATACCATTTCTATCTCTACAGGATATCCTGTCTAATTTGTTCTTAAATAATAATTCCAAGCAGCCATTAATATTTTTTCTCTTCAAATGTCCTCCGCGTAACCATATCCATTTTGTTATTTTCCTGTTTTGGACTTTTAATTTTCAGTTCTATGACCACTTCTATCTCTCATTGTTACCAAGTTTGTGATAGCTGAATCGACACAATGAACCCTCTTTTTTACCTAACCGCTCTTTTTTTTTCTTTTGCAGCAACTGCAGCAACACCCGTAAGGAACATTTTGCATACAAGCCATCTGTAGATGAGACCGACTTGCTTATCAAATGTGGATTTGGGGACGAAATGGAACATATGTCTTTCCATTGTAAGTAAAATGTTCAGTTTAGTTCCTTATTGCATTTAAGAGTTCAGGATGTTTACCATCGGATATTTCAGCAGGCATACTGATAGCTTTTTTATTGTATACTCCAGGAATACGACTCGATATCAAATTCATCTACTTCTAATTGTCATGTCCCTTCAAGATATTGGCGATCAAGGCTTTCCTTAGACTAGCTTTTTCTTTATTATCTATAAATTTTCATGACTTTCAAGAGAAAATAGCGGAGTAGTCTCCCGTTATTTTGAGTTCATCATTTTTCTTCTCCAAGACTGTTTACCAGCCAAGGCAAAAGCGATTTGTCTACCCTACTATATAACTCATAGCTGGAGGGAGTAGAATTGGATCGAATTTTCGAATAGCTTTAGTGAGAAAGTGAATGCAGAAGTCTAGTCCGGACTTCGAAATCGGTTCGCCGATTCCATTATCTGCACGAATAACCGTTACACTAACCGCACATCAATACAATCCTATAAGCATCTGCTTGCAGATGCTTCAACTTACCAAAGCAGGGATTGATGCCTTTCTCTTTTGTTGGTCAACGATAATATACCTGCTCAGTGGAAATATTGACCTTCACCTACAGTCAATAACTGATTAAGCAAAGTTTAATAGACATATTAGTATAGACATATTTAATAGACATATAAATGTAATCGAACTGCTCCTCCAAGAGTTGTTCTTCTGACAACTACTTTAAATCGATGGTTCCAAACTTTTTCTACCTGCTACTCCTTTTGTTCCCAAGACAAAACCCTAGATCTCCTTCCTATTCCCCCTATGAAGACACTTCTTTCTTGGTATTTTGTATACTCCACATTCAAAAACGAATAATCCAACACTGTAAACATTTCTTTAATGACATTAGATAAGATGCCGCCAGAAAAAAAAACATCCTTAGCTGTATCGCTACACCGATACACTTAGAATATTCACCTATACAGACTTCGGCTGTCTGATTTGGCTGGTGCTTAGCTCACCCCGTCGAAACAACATCAGTAAGATACAAACAAACATTCGAACTTTTATCTTCGGACAGAAAATTAAAATAAAACCGAAAATTCTGAACAACTTATGCTAATTTTATTCTTTGTAAAGCATACGGCTTTCCTAATTTAAATGATTAGGATTTTGCCATACAGATTTAGTAAAAGAAATATTATTACTTGGTTCTAATGCTACCCTGCCGCAAATACCATTCACTTTTAAACCGGCCTCTATTATCCCCTTTTTCGTCACCGTTGTTTGAATCTTTCCTCACCCCTGAGATGGGGGTTACTGTCCACTTTGGAAATTTCAGCATGAAACCATTAATGAAAAAATAATTCCTTGTTTTGTAAGATTTATAAATGAGATGTATTCTTTTTAATCTTCAGCGCCAGTTTCTTCTCACGAAAATTTAGAAATCAAAGTTATGCCAGAAGGTCAACATAAGGTCGGAGAAGAGATCCAAGTGACATGTTCAGGTTTTGGATTCAGTGACATGACTAAATTCAAATGGTTCAAAAAGACAAAAGGTATGTCCATTAACGAATTAAAATTCATTTACATTGTAATTACTTTTCTGTTATGTTTTAATGTATTTTTGTACTCGTTATACATACACAGCTACATTTTTCCTTTAAGTCAACCATTTCGCAATAAAGTTAATGTTAACCAATCGATCTTATATTTATAAACTTGACATATGGCAAAGTTTACGTATAAAAATACATCAGTAAGATAGAAAGATTCGAACTTTTAATATAATGGTTAGCAAGCTTGTCTCGCTAAATCAATTACAACTGAGTAGTGAATTCGATCTGTTTCATATTTGTGCCGTATCAAAGCTACGCTTAGTAAATCACTATACCATATAGTGCACTTCGATTTGGTGTAATGGTTAGCAGCTTATCTCGCTCAATCAATTACCGCTGAGGAATGAGTTCAATCCTTACTGGTTGCTACATACTTTCAGCCTTGTTCTATTTCTAAGCTACGCTTATTAAATCGCTATTTATCACGTAAGATTAATCGCACTCTTGGGCACTTTGTCGTTTTGCAATGGTTCGCAAGATTGTCTCATATCAATTACGACTGAGTACTGAATTCGATCCTCACTTGGTTTCGGCCTTGTACCAAAACTACGCGTTGTAAATCACCAAATTTTAGAGACATTGTCATATTGACTAGGTATATGGTTGTCTTCTGTTCCGTTATAAGTGAAAAAATTTAATTAGCAAACAACTCTACGATTTAAATAAACAATACAAAATGAAACGTAGCCTAATGGATCAAAGCGTTCGTGACATAGTAATTGTGAGTTCAATCCCTAGGTTGGGTAGTATAGATTCAGTCTCAATAGAAACAGAGTGGGTAATAACTGAACAGTTCTAAAAAGAATAATTCCCTAGACATGAACTGCGGAGCGAAAACAGTCTTCTTACGTAGGTTAAATAAAAGTTTCAGTTCGAAATTCGATGACAGTCATCTGAAGAAGGCCAGAGGGCACAGTGACAGAAACGTTGTGATAATAGCAACAAACAGGAAGACATTAATCTGAATGTAAATAATATAAACAAAAAGGAAATAAACGCCATTTAAATTATTTTTAACCCGCAACCTTGCAGGGTCGTAGAGGCACCATATGTACTGAAGCGCCATTAGCAGTGTTGTTTCCTCGGCAAGATAGCCTGATGAAGGTTGGATTTTGAATTCAGAGTTTTTCCTTCTCCTGGTCTGGTTGCCATTCATGACTATAGGAATTAGTCTATTCTTCTATTTAGCCATAATTGGGGTGGGGGGGAAAGAGATGGATCCATACCTTTCCCAGGGGTATTAGCACAAAGTGAATGCAATGAACTCGACTAGAATTCGAACTCGGCTCGCGGATTTCTTAATCGATGCCGCTATCCATTACTTCTCCTTAAATTATCACCTCCTTTGATTTTTATTTCTGTGTTATCTTTTAATCTGTGTATGTGCTACTTTTGTACATTTTTTCTTCTTTTACATAACAATCGTTTTTTTAGTTATCTTTATTTTTTATTTTATTTTATTTTTGAACTAGATTCAAGTGACAAAATGAAAATCATGCCCAGAGACTCAAAACCAATGTTTAAGAACGCTGACAGTATGTGTCGCACACAAGCCTCTGAGATGATTACTTACATCCCAGAAATCAACGATGAAATAATTTATTGCGAAGCAAAAGACGGTGGTCATATGGCAAGTGCTGACTGGACCATTCAGCTGGGTAAGTAAAGCTCAACAATATGCTTGCGCCTAAACTGAATAATAATGATAGGGGGCTGCTATGCACTTCAACGTGGTGTAATGGCTAGCAAGTTTGTTTTACTAGATCACTTAAGACCGAGTAGGGAGTTCGGTCCTCATTAGGTGCTCCATACTTCCGGCCTTGTGCCACATCTAGGCTACGTTTAGTAAATCGCTTTGGGCACTTAAACGTAGTGTAATGTTTCGGTAAATCAATTACAATTGATTAGTGAGTTCGAAACTCACTGGGTGATCCATACTCACGACCTTGGGCTACATCTACGCTACGCTTAGTGAATCGTCTTATACTTACTTTGTATCTGAGTTCGCTTCTATTGGAGAAAATTGCAATTAATATTAGCTCAACCCCCCGGGGGTGGGACATCCCTCCAGGTAGTACCACACCTTCAAGGGAAGAGTTGTGGTCATTACCTGGCGCCTGAGAGGTCCACAAAAGGGAAACTACAGAGTGGGCCTGAGCAATTTTTCCACGGTATTGCCGGTAAACCCAGTTTAAACTTCGGTAGTGACGTGGGCGCGCTGAAAAATCCCCTAACTACAATTTGGGATGATCACTTCGACGTGGTGTAAAAGTTAGCAAGCTTGTCTCGCTATATCATATTACTGAGTAGTGAGTTCGATCCTCGCTGAGTACTCCATACTTTCGGCCTAATGCCACAACTAAGCTACGCTTAGTAAATCGCTAAGTATAACTTGGGTTTATTTATGAGTATATTTTCAACACATTACTCAAAATAAATTTCTTTCCTGATTTTTATTCTAATTAGGTGTGATTTCCAATCCCACTGATGGTATTACTACGAAGGATAGTGACGAGGACGATGATGATATGCCGGATGAGGAGGAACACGATGATATGACCACTTCCGAGCCAAGTCCCGAAGAAGAGACTGAAGACGGTAGCAAGGCAGAACCAGAAGCAGAGGCGGAATCAGAAACTACAACCAAATCGCTTTCCAAACCGGTCCAGCAAGATTCTGGACAATTGCGACGTTGTCTCTACAACAGCGTCCTTATCTTTTCTCTGGTTATCATAGCTATTCTATTTCTGATCGAGGAAACATCGTAATCTAATCACATAATTATATATATATATATATATATATATATATATATATATATATATATATAAACTCTATCACTCTCTGGCTGAAACTCTGTTTCTCTCTGTCTATTCTCTCCTCCTCTCTCTTTCTTTCTTTTAAAAAATATTCATCCCCAAACATTGCGATTTTTGTAGCGATTTTGGGAAAAAATAAAATTTAAACAAAAAAATTAAAAAAAAGAATAAAGAAGTTTTAAAGGAAAATAAAAGAAAAATAAAAAAAAATGTTCTCATAATAAGAGGGAGATTTAAACGCATCACCAGCAAAGCAAATCTACACCAAGTTAGCTGTTTTATGAAGGGAATAAAACGGCTACTGTACGCCGAATTCTGTGAACATTCAGTCCAGCATATCTTATGAACTGTAAGGAAGGTTCATTGGTTTATAATAACCCAAAAAAGAAAAAGCTTTCTCAGATAATATAGCGGCACCACTGGAAAAGCAAGATACGTTTGTGAATTCAAATATATCTGCCAATTAGTCATGCTATTCAGAATTTGTGTGCAGCATAAACTTAAATGACACATATACACACACACACATACACACACACATATATGTGTGTGTGTACATATATATATGTGTGTATATATATATATATATATATATGTGTGTGTGTGTGTGTTTGTATATACATATATGTGTGTGTGTGTATATATGTGTGTTTGTGCGTGTATATATATATACATGTATATATAAGATAAAATGTGTTAAAGTTGAATGATCTATACTTAGTTAATAGATTTAAACGCATTTAATGCCTTTGCTAAAAAAAATTTGAAAAATTAAAAAATATGAGCCTACCATGAAAATGATGACTAATTAAAATAACCTTCGCGCAAATACCTATTTCCAAACAAACAAAAAAAAAAAAAAAAAAAGACATACAAAAATACTTAAGGAAATCATATTCAATCAGAAACTTTTCAATCAATTATTGAAAATTCGGTCGTAATAAAAAAAAAGGAAAAGAAATTAAAACAGGACGAAAGAATATATATTTGCAAATTTTTATTACATCTTCTCGATTTGGTGATGAATTTTTTTTTTGCTTTTTTTTCACATTTTCTAAATATTTTTTGATGTTACAGACATTATTTTTTTTATGAAAGAAAAATTTTAATATAAACAAAAAAAAAATTTTTTTTTCTATCATCTGAATTTCAATTTTGTTTTGGATGAATCCAATTAAACCAACTTTAGATGTTTTTGCCGTTAATATTAGCTGAATGCATTATGCAAATTGTTTTTTTTAACCTTTTCCTCTTAATTCAATCCGTCAATTTGTTAAAACATGTTGTTCTATTTTTAATTTGCATCATTTTTTGTATATTTCATCTCCACCTGAAATTTTTACCCAACCCTTTTCTCCCCACAGAAAACGAAAAAGAAGAAAAGAATATGCGTCAGTAATTTTTTTTTTTTTTTTTTTTTTGGCCTACACTATTCATTTTTTAAGAAAAAAAATAATATATGTATATTTAAATGTTCTATGCGGGCGTGTGTTCAAGGGAGTAACCGAAACACAGCTCAGCTAACGACATCGACATTGTCTGCAAAAAAAAAAAAAAACAACAACAACAATAATCTACGCATGACATTAACCTTTAGCACTCTGCATTATTAATATTACTTCCCTTTCTACTGCATTCTTTTTCAAGGCCTCTCAATTGCAGTATCCTTATTGCTAATTTCACTCAAAGGTGTTTTCTGTTGTCATAGCAGATTAAAACAACATAACTATGAAATTAAAACAAATTCAGATTCAGAGATCAGAGTCACCTTCAGTGGCAGGATAAACTTCTTCACACACAGAGTGATAAAGGTTAACTTACATATACACTGTAGACGAGCGTTTCTCAACCGGTGATCCCGGGCGCACTAATCCGCCCTAAAAGGTAGCCAGGTACGCCCAGAGTTAACAGGAGTGTAATTTTTATATTGAAAAAAATCTTTATTTTTTAAAACCTAAAGGCACCAAGCACATGGTCAAGTCTTTGTTGAGTGATATTTTTAACTAGATGCTAAATCCCTTAATCTTTGAGAAGGAGTGGATAATCCTTCCCCTTTTGCCTTCCTAAAGGGATTTAAATCAGTCATTATCGCCCCCTCTAAAAAAAAAATAGCAGATTCTTCATAAATCCTTTAATTTTGCTACCGTAAATTTACTACTGTTAATTTAATTTATCATATATAAGGCCTAACATTCAAAAATTGTCAAAGTGCATCAAGTACAGGTTTCACGCGAACTTACTTAAATATACAATGTAATGTCCTAAAATTAAACGCTTATTTCAGGAGACTTCTTTATTATTTTCCTATTTTCAAATTTCATTAATATTTTTTCCTTATTAAAATTTAATATTTTAGTCATTCTACAAGTGCGGCCTGAAGTAAAAAAAATAAGGTTGAGAAACACGGCAGTAGACAATGCATACATTATAGATGCAAACGGACAAATCTTTGCATAAAAACACTTTTACGAACACAGACACACAAACACGCACACTATATATATATATATATATATATATATATATATATATATATATATATATATATATATATATATATATATATATATATATATATATATATATATATATATATATATAATCATTAACAAAAAGTTTAAGACCACTTAGCTATAACATGGTTACTTTCATTTTTTTACTATTGTTTTGTATCATTTGAGATTGAGCATGGTGCAAAAGTTCATTCCTATTGCATCAGCCATTATTGACACGTGATTTGTTGTCAACTTTTTTTGTCTTTGCCAAATTAGCAGCCATTGTGATAGTATTTGTGCAGTGGATTAGGCTTAAAATATGAGCAAAAAATCCCCATTTTCACCTAAACGTAGAACCCAAATTGTGGTTCTATGGGATGATGGCTTGACACCTCGAGGTGATGTAATGGTTAGCAAGCTTGTCTCGCTAGAACAATTACGACTGAGTAGTGACTTCGATCCTCACTGGGTGCTCCATACTTTTGGCCTTGTGCCACATCTGAGCTAAGTTTGGAAAATCACTATGGGAAGATGGCTATTCTGAACGTGAAATTATTCCAAAGGTAGGATATAGCAAAACAGTACGATTATTGTGACAATTTCATTCTGATCTTGAACCGTATAACGCCCGAATCCAAACAGTAAAACAAAGGAGGTCATGCAAAATAGTGACCGCTTGTCTGTTTGACTTGAAATTAATAGAGAACATTGTCATGTATAAATTTGTGAGGAAAATTGAGTCAGTCTCTTAAAAATTACTTGTTACGGTGCTTTTTTTTTAACTTTAAGATATTAAAATTTCAAAGCGGTCTTAAACTTTTATTAATGAATACCTATATATATATATATATATATATATATATATATATATATATATATATATATATATATATAATATAAACACATAACCACATATATATCAAATATTAAAAAAAAAAATCAAGGTTACCAGTAACAATTCATAAGTTTGTTGCCGTCTGTTGTTCTATTATACTGGTTTGTCCATCATTTTCTACTGATACCACATTTTAATACAATTGCTGAACCTAAAAGAAACGCTAAAATATTCAATTGTGCCAGACAAAAAAAAAATGGAATAATGAAATAAAATGAAGTTTAAATATTTGACATTGATTTTACAATCTTGTTTTTCGATGATGCTCTACCATCAACATTATCAATGAAGATTTCAATATATATATATATATATATATATATATATATATAGGAAAGGAGATAATCATCTGTGTGAGATTTTGTTTGGTTTCGCTTAAAATATTGAACGCACGCCCAGTTTTTTTTTCGTTCTTTCATTTTCAGTTTTTTATTGTCCATGCTTTTCGTGTTATTTTTAGTTTGACTTTTCATAAAACAATGCTAATGTCTATTCTTATTCTACTTTTCTTATGTTTTTCTTACGTGATTATCAATAAGTGGAGCAACCAGGACAGTGAGTGGGATTCAAGGGATTCGCAGTGGTCCGTGCGAGTTGTTTACTTAAAATGACACAAGTTCGCAAAACCAGTTCTTAAATTCCCTTTCATATGCATGGACAAAAGACTTATAGGTTAAAAAAGAGATGACCTCTTCCTCATTTCGTAGACAAAATTGCGTTCCTAAAGAATTTGGGCAAAGCAAACATAAACGACCCGATGATTGAACTTAACGCTTCATTTTGAAGCATTTTCTTGTTTTATAAATCAGCAGTATATAACAGAGAGATAAGAATTTTGCCAAACATAGATCTTCATTCCCGCCAAAAAAAAAAAAACGGAATGTCAACAGAATGGTTTTCCTCTGACCCCGCTTTTATTTTAAATACATTTACTCATCGGCAATGTTTATTGTTTTAAAAACGGCGACAACAATAATTTAAAAAAAAAAAATCCAGACGACATGCATTTAACGGATGTCAGAATTCATTGAAAAATACATCCCTACCCCTACGAAAACGTAACTAATAACTGATACATCAAAATACAGAGATAATGAACACGCAATCACCCCTTGTCTGGATGAATGGATTTCTCTGTATCCTTGGAAACGTGAATTATGAATTTTTGCTGTGCCTTTAAAACCCAGTAATTTTAAAAAATAAGTTACTCCAAAATTCGCTTGAGGATGAAATGGAACTAATGTCTTTAATCTAATTACAAAATTAAATTCGAAGCGTTTAGCTTCCATTTTTGAAACATGGTTAGAACTGTGTAGCGAAAAAACATTTTAAATCAATTAATATATATATATATATATATATATATATATATATATATATATATATATATATATATATATATATATATATATATATATATATATATATATATATAAAAAAAAAGACAAAAGGAGAACACTTATATTTAACACCAGAAAGAAAGAGAAGAGTTGAAATTTCATAATGTGGAAATTTGGCTTGGAAAATGGGGTACATGCAGGACAGAGTGAAGGCAAGTG